CAAGAATTGAATGAACACTACCTCGTGTCTGTCTACCAATCTATTTGCCATTTCTTTCGAAAAGAAAATTGAACGCAAAAAAGAGTAACCCAAAAGTTACCATTAGAAAAGAAAGAGCCAAACAGGATGATAAATTCTTTCTTTTCCTCATCTCTTTCTAATTCTCTTTCTTTTCATCATCTTCTTTTTCCTCTCTTAGGTTATGCTGTTTGTTATTTGTTATTCTCTGTGTTGAAATTTTGTTCACTTTTTGCAAGCAAGTTCAACGTTCATCCATTTACCTTTAATCTTCTTCTTCTTCTTTCTAATTATCTGATTTACTTTACAATTAATGCAATTGTTATTGACCATCACACTTAACCAATCATCACCTGTTCACTTTCAACCTCAATCAGAACTTAGATGTCATCTTGATTATCTCCTTTTACCGGTCATCATCACTTACATCAGAAGCACTTTGTCCATCTTGATCGGCAATTTGTTTTGTTTTTTCCTAATTCTGTTGATAGACTTTTACAATCACAATGCCAGTTAATTTCGATAAATATCAACGAGATCTCGTTTCATCATGGAAGGAGGTTGTCAATGAAAAAAGTGATACTAGTTAGTAAGTGATTAGTAAGAGCTAATTTACAACTTCAAAACTACAGGCTTTTTTCAGTCGATTGGCTTTTCAAGCTATTAGGTAAACAACTAAGTAATGGCCAAAATTTTTTCGACCTTACATTTGGCTTGATTGTTAGAAAACTTTAGATTTTTGGTTAATAAATTTAAATAAAATTTGAACTTGATCGTTTTAATTGTTCGAAAAACGAAAAAAGAAAAACAAAAATTCTATCACTTTAGATATAATTTAATTGTAATTAAACTAATCATCATAAAATGATCATTTATGTATCATGTTAAAGCTTATTATCTAACCTCTCTAATTATACTAAATTTATTAATCAAAAATCTAAAGTTTTCTAACAATCAAGCCACATGTAAGCTCGAAAAAATTTTGGCCATTACTTAGTTGTTTACCTAATAACATCTTGTAAGATTTACAACATAGTAAGTAACTTAACAGTTCTTTCAAATTTCATGACTTAACTGGATATTGTTCATTATCATGAAATCGTTTTATGTAAACTTCAAGTCATGAAGCTCGAATTTATTAATTATAATTCAGATAAAGAGCTCTTTATCTAAATTAATTCAATTTTCACTGTTAACTTTGATTAGATTACCTCTTTATGCGAAATTGATATAATTTTGGTTCTCGTCTCATTTTTCGTGGCTGTATATCTTTTCCTACGCTAATCCTATGTCTTTAACAAGAAACATGTATTAATAAGTAAGAAGACATTGAAATTCAGTTGGTTAAGTTGATGATTTGCGAATAAAAATAATTAATGATCTTATCAATTTTGTCCTTTCATTTTCATTTATAATCTTTAGCACAAATCATTAGTGATCATAAGTTCAAACTAAATGAAAATAAAATCAGATATATTGATTGATTGACCAAAATGAATTATATACCTGATAATTTATCATTCATGTAATAATAAATATCATGTTGTAATAATTCGGCTAAATAATAAATGATTAATTGACAATGAAATTTTATTAATTAAAAATTATCATTGAAATGTAATCAAGTGAAGATGACGCTATTTGATTGAGTTTAGTTCAAATGCCTATTTTATGTTAGTATAGTCTCACTCAAATCGCTAATCTATTCGAACGGAATTGACTTGGCCTAGTTGAAGGTTATCATATCATTTCCAATAACTGAGGAAAAATAAAATATCATTATTCATTCAAATTGATGTTATGTTCACCATGAATCATTGACTTTTCCCCCTGACTCTCACATGGAATATATCTTAATTCATTCTGACATAAAGTGAGCAGCAAAGTTACAACTTATACATGTATTATGATGATAAAAGACAGAGAAACTTGAAGCAATTGACCTTAGTTGTTTTCAGTTTCATGGTGGAAAATATAATGTGAATAAACTCACTGAATATAAGTGATAAGGATCATGATAACTCAAAGTTTTCAACGGCAACCAGATGATTTAGTTGTTGAAACAATAATGTTTAAATTTCATCTTCCAATTGAAATAATCAATCAAAATTGATGCTCATGGTGTTTAGGTGAATAGCAAATTTGTTAATGAAAGTAGAGAGAGAGAGTATGGTAAAAGTTCAGATACATTGAATATTATCTTCAGAACTGTCTTAAGCCTACAACTTGAAGGCAATAAATAAGTTCATGAGATTGAGATGCTGATTGAGAATGAGAAGTTAACAGTTGATTGCAATTGACAAATTGATGGACTATCCCAATGTCAATCTGGACAACGAAAAAAACTCCCATGTAATATAAAGTTACCGAGTAAAAGTTACGATGATCATTAAATTCAGAGTTTCATGCTAAAAATGAAAGTTGAATCGATCATATATCATGATGGTAATTGATTTAATTTCATTGGTAGACTCAGAGTTGGGTTAACAACTGAGAATCGAAATGAATTTCTGAAGGAATGAAATGAACAAGTAACTTTGTTACCTTATCAATGCGTCTCAGGTAATTGAAAGATAATTTATTTTCTTGATTTAACATTGATCTTTTAACCGATAAAAACATTGTCCTGTTTATCATGATTAACCATCGTTAATTGAAATGAACTAGATGATAGTTGATTAAATAGATTGGATGGAAATGAAAGTTAATCGATTTTGTAGATTAGCTTAAGGCTTAAATGGAAGCAAAGAAAAACAATTTTCATCTTTTTTCCTTAATCATCATGTTGATTGTTTCTCTGTCCAGTTAATACCTTTTACCATGCTAAAACTCACTTTGACCAAAATAAACTTATTAATTGTCAATGATGAAGCAAAATGGACATTAAATCCTTTCCATTTGGGTCAATTTATGTCAATATGGGGAAAAAAAGAAGGTAATTATTATTTAATCTATTAGTTTAATCTGTTGTTGTTGTGGTAACTCAATTTACCTTAAATTGCAATCAAATGTTTGATTGTATTTACAGAAAACCACGTTAATCAATATTGATCATGATGTTTATTGAAATTTTCAATCAACAATATTAATCATTTACAGAATGATGATGTAAACAAGGTTGTCAATATGCTAATAATAAATTAATTAATTGTTGTATTCAATTATTAATTGTCATGCTTGTTAATCAGCTAATTTTCAATGAAAATTTATCATATTCACCTTCAATTGTTGCTAATCTATTAATACTTTCCTTATATTATAAATCAATATGAGAACAAGATATCAAGTTGAAAGTTTCCATCTCCAATTTTGTAATATCAATTAGATGAATGATTAATTGAAAATCTAATTAATTGCTGCTAATCTGTGAATTGATTAGAAACTAATTTGCTTTTAGAAATTTTCTCTTCTTCTTATTACCACAAACTAAACTTGTCAACTGATCTTTGAATATCATTCGTTAACCTTGATTGGAATACAATCAATTTCTATTATTAAACTAAATCACTATGAGACACACTATCAATTTACATGTTTACGATTAGATTAATATAATTATCGTCGTTCATTGAGTTTATTGTAATCAAAATTTCACTTTGTTTATTCATATTCTTTAATTTGATTAGCCAAGTACTTTGGCAAATTGGTTATTGATTAAGAGATGAGGATTAAGCTTATGGGTTAAATGTTAGGTAATCATTGTATGGGATTAATTTTATATCTGATTATCACTGATAAGAGTTAATTTAGTTTGTGAATATCTTGATTGATTTGATTTCTCTGCTTTAATTTTAGTTGATTTTCATGATGTGTGATCATTAAAAATGGATAAAAAAATCTTTGATATTGATTGAATATTTCATGTAGTTGATTAATGATTCAATCTAATTGTTACATCTTAATATATAACTGTTATAACCTTGAATGTCAATTTGATTATAATTTTATTAAACTTGATCAATAGTGATAAATATTATGTTTGTTTGATTCAATTTGATTATTGAGCAACATTGATTATGATATTTAAGCCAATCAATCAATCAGTGAATTTGATGATTAACTAAATAATAATTAATCAACTTTCGGTTTTCAGTATGACGGGGAAAAAATATCAACTGCCCAATAGTGAGAGAAAGTGATTCTAATGATCTTGATATAAGAAATTGATTATCTTATTAATGATGGAAAACTTTTAATATAATAATAAACATGACAATTGAGACGGTTGATAAAATCGCAAGTTATGAATACGATCAACTTGTTTGATGAAAAAAGTATTCAAATGAAATAAAACTGATCCAAGTTCACATTTAATTCACTTATTACGATCAAAGTAACGATATATTGATTGAATAAAACGATTCCAAGTGCTAGCGATTGAAAACTTAAACTCGATAAAAAAAATAAATCGATAATCGTTTTAATCATTTGACAAGATTATCCATTTTCTTTTTACTTAAATAACAATTTAAAGCTTTAATGCTTTTGCCATTTGAAAAGTTGCTCTTGTTGGGATATTTATCATCAATATCGACTGATGATCAGCAACAGAAAACTTAACAAACTTTTAAAAGAAAAAGTTTCAACCTTGAATTGGCTGTAAATGAAAAGATTGTGATAAAATCTGATGAAATTTTTAATTTCATGAATGATTTGATTTGTTTTTTGTTTCTGTCGATTCATCATCATTGTAATATGTGCATCACCCTGATAAGTTTCAGGTTTCTTGTTGTTATTTTCATGATACTAATAAACATGATAACATTAGTCTTTCTCTTTCAATATCTTTCGCCACTTATTATTTTTTGCTCACCTAACCCTGGATCAGATTCATGGACGATGAGTAACAGTAGAAACAATAACAACACTTATCGTAAACAATGAATTGCTGATTGAACCATGTCAACGATACTAATCAACATGAAGAGAGCAAGAGAGAGAGAGAGAGAGGAAATAAATTAACTAGATGAGTATTAACTTACCAATGGTTTTCATGATTTGTAGACACACAACATGATAACATGAACGTGATTCTGATGGTCAATAATATTATCGAGTGTTGGTCAATTAACTGATGAGTGATCATGTTTTTGGCACAGTTTGTTTGCTTGTAACCATTAAGATTAGTGGTCATTTCTGTTGACTATGGTTTACCGTTACATTTTGTATTAAGTAGTCGTTGATTGTTAAGTAATTTTGGACTCAATTTTTCACTTTACGGACTTTTGTTAAATTGCACTGATTTTGCCTGTTGATGTATCACAGATAATTTCAATATTATCTTTTATCGGTATTATGTCCATGTAACCCTTTACCCCTGATGTGACCTCTACCGGTTTACATGTGAGCAATGCTGCACATTTAGATGAACTTTGTAGACCAGCGGACATCATTTTAACACCATAAGCACCAGTCACAGGTAAATCAGGTGAATCCATCCTATGGTGATTCGTTGAAAGGTATCGTCCAGTTGAATGGCCATTTGATGGTCTTTTAGACCAAGAATCTGTTTTCTCACCAAATGAACGACACCAATCATTATCACGAACTGATAGTAAAATTTTCCTAAATGCTTCTCGAAATTCAGTGTTAAATATACTATAAATTACTGGATTAAGAGCTGAATTAAGCCAACCCAGCCAAGTTGAGGTTTTGAAAATTAACTCAGGTATACATGTTTTACAAAAGGCGGCGATTATGTTAATACAAAAAAATGGAACCCAACAGATTAGAAACACTCCCATGATAACACCGAGAGTTATTGCTGCCTTGTGATCCATAACTGAATGATGAGAATGATGAGATGATGATCGTGCTGATGATGAACCTGAACAACCATCATCAGGATCAAAGTGAAGAGGTTTGGCCATTGAGCGAATGTGTTGAACATGTTTACGAGCGTAAAGATACAATCGAGTGTACAAGGCGATCATGATTAGGCAAGGAAGATAAAAACTAATCGTTGAGCTGACCAGAGCGTAGAGAGGTGTAAGGTCAAGAGCACATTGATATTCATCTGGTACCAATGGTTGGGACAGATTAATTGTTAATGGTGTTGTTGTTATAACTAAAGATGATGACGATGGTGGGGTAGTTAAGGTTAGTATTTGGTCAGTGCTAAGGTCATCAATAATGTTGGACGGTTTATGCCAGCCCAAACTTACAGGTACAAATGAAATCAATCCCGATAAAAGCCAAATCAATGCTACCGAAGCGAGGACAACCCTTTTGGTCATCCATTGATTATATCGAAGTGGATCTTTAATGTGAAGAAATCGATCCAATGAAATTGCACAAAGATTTAAAATTGATGAAGTGCAACACATTATATCAAATGATATCCAAGCTTCACAAGCTCTTTGACCAAATACCCAATATCCCATTAGATTTGCGGTCAACTCAAGGGTCATCACAAGTGATCCAACGAAAAGATCGGCTAACGCAAGAGAGACAAGAAATAGATTTGATAACTTACGAAGTCGCCGATCAGTATAAATCGCAATGCAAACCAAAAGATTTCCCAAAATTGAAGCTAAAATGATCACAACTAAAGCTGAATTAACGGCGTATCTTGTTAACATCGTTGTAACTCCATTAGTTGTACAAAACTGACCAAGAGAGTTATCATCATTAAAGGTCAATCTTTCATTGTTATCGGGATCATTCAAAGTACAATTGATGAAACTTTTATTCATAACTTGATAATAAATATAAATAATTGATGATTGACAAAAATCACATGTACAATTCAGTTGAAATCAAAGTGAATCTATTTCGTGAAGTTAACATTTTTACACCAATCGAATCACAATCACATTATGCTAACGAAAATCAGAATTAATTACCAACCGTTTGAGAAAGATTAATATAATTAAATGAGAATAATCAAAAAGATGAACAATATAAAGCGAATGGAATCATTTTGAAATGTTCTTTGAAACTTGTTACCACTAATAACTTGACAGTTCGTGGAGCAGATGAACAGTCGAATTACATTTTTGTAAACTGTTGCTCTCTCAGTTTCTCTCTCAGTCTCTCTCTCTCTCTCTCTCTCTCTCTCTCTCTCTCTCTCTCTTACTCATCTTCTTTACTCTTCCATTGATTTTTTTTCTTCTCATTTCGATTCAATCATCACTTTGGACAAAAAGTTTTCGAGAGTAGTAACGCCATCTAATGAGAGCGAATTTCTTTAGTTAGACTAACAATTTAAAGCTCAATCATCGCTAATTGTAGGATCTCAATGATAAGAATGAATTTGCAATTAGATGAATTCGGTAATTGGAAAAATCGTAACATTTTAATTTCAGAAAACGAAAAAAGTTCGCAACACTTGAAGATCACTTTTACCGTTAGCGTTTTTACCGATCATTTTTTTTAATAAATCTAATAGAATGGGAAGAGAATTCAATAGGTACCAATTGTGTTCGATATTCCTACATCATGAAATTATCTTTAGTTCATAACGAATAAATGACTGTAGTTTTATCCAAAAGATGGAGCCTAATTCTTTGTGAAACTTTAGACAAATGAGAAAAATTCTGAATCTCAATAAGCTGCTGATCATTAATTCAAATCACAAATTCACCAAATGTTGACCAACTAATTCGTCAATTAGAAAAGTTTGAATTCTGTGGATCATTTTCTCCAATATGTAACCATGATTGGGAAAGAAATCAATCAGTGAATCAGGAATTCCAATAAAAATAAGAGAAAAAATCAAACAAAAGCAACAGAACAATTTGACAACTTGTGAGAATAGAATCGATAATAAATTGTGTAACATCTTATTGTCTTTTCGATTACTGATAATGATGATGAAGAAAAAGAGAAGAAATAAAAAAGATAAAATTCGATATAATTCTGTTTAGATGATAAGAGAAGAAGAGAGAAAAAAAGAGAAAATATAATCCATCCCAGGTCAGCATTACTCTCATTCCTGTTCCTTTTCCCTTTTCCTCCATGACTTTTGATAGGAATTCAAAACGTCTCCTGAGAATGAAGAAAAGCAAAGCAAGCGAAAACAAACAAATAGCATTGGAATGATGAGGATGCTTGAGATGAAAAAGGAAGATGATATAAAAAAAGAAGATAAGGAAGACGAGAATTAGGTAAAGATGATAACGAGTCGCACGCCCAGTGAATTGAGTAAAATATATTATCTCAAAGGAATCTTGGAATTGTTGTTCAATCCATAATAATATCGATAATCGAACAGAATCTTCTGGATCAGTTCAAATGAATAGAAGAAGTAAAATAAAAATCGTATTTGCAATTTTCGGCAAATGCTTTTATCTCATTTCTCAAGATGATATGATTATTTTCTGTCAACCCTTTTACTCCATTGGATTAGAGGGAAATATATGTGTATATAAGTGAGAGAGAATAATCTACAAGATAATAAATAATGTGAGAAGAAAAAAAAATAACAACAGCGAAAAACTTTGAATTTAAAATCGATGAGAGTAAATTTGTTACCATGAGATGAACGTGAAAACTTTGATTGTTTTTCATTCCTTCATAACTTTCATGTTAAAGTCTTTGATAGTTTCTGGTGGAGCTTCATTGCTTTCGGATTAATAGTGAGTCTCAGATTCATTTCCAATAAAATCTATCAACTGAAAGATAAAAATAAGACAGTAGGATGAGAGAGAGAGAGAAAGAGAGAGAGAGAGAGGAGTGAGGAGTAAAATAATGATGAGGATCATCATGATGGTACCAGAAGAGGCTGATGATACAGAGAATGTAAAAGATAGAGAGTGAGATGAATAATGAAATGTAATGATGGTAAAGAGCAAGAAAAAAAGAGGATTAAGTATGAAGAAAAATGAATTACTTTTGAGGAGAAAACATTTTCTTTGAAATAAAAAGTTAAAATTCAAAACTCGCGCCTGAAAGTTAGTTTATCATCTTAATATTAAGATGATATCAAAATTTGTTAATAATTGTTATAATTGTGATGGATCTGATCTGAGAAACACAAGGAAATGATTGATATTAGATAATATTGATTTTAACATTTACTTTTGTTTTCGATAGTGTTATAAGCCCTTAGGGGGAATCGACTGTAAAAATAATTTTACTTATCCTTTCGTGGGTAAACATGGTAAATATATAAGGTTTATCTTTGTGAAATTAAATGTTTAGCAAATTTGAAGAGACTTGGTTGTTCAGAAAAGTTCATCTTGTTCGTGGATCATGAAAACAGTTTTAAACTCTGCTAAAACTGAATTGAATTTCATGGATCAATTGAACAATTTCTGTGAGTTCCATTGACGAATCACAATTTCAACCCTTATTTTTTGTTTCTTTTGAGGATTTGATTCTCTCTCTCCTCTTTATTTACTAACAACTTCAATAAACATACACATGAACTTGTCGATTATATTTAATTAGCTTGAGGCGTTACTAGAATTGTATTACCTGATAAGATGCTCATGAAAAAGGAAAAACTAGTGATAAGAATGAAGAAATATAATATAAATAGTAAATCTATCGATGTAACCAATTGTTTAAATGAATTATGCTCACTTTTTATATTAATATTAATAGTTACATTTACTCTGGAAGATTCAGAATTCCAGATGAAAATAGTTAGTGGATGAATGGTCATTAGATGACAATGAGTATGCTGATTGTTATTATCATGATGATGATGATGATGATGATGATCTTAAGGTAAAGATAAAATGAAGAAGAGACTGAAAAGATAATCGTTATAATGATTATTATTATAATATAATAATAAAGTTAAGGTATGATAACAAATCTAGTTAAGAAAAATGTTGATGCCCTCAAGTTATATTCATTGAATTGAGCTTCTGTCTTGGGTTAATCAAACTCAAACATTGTACCTTGAATGATGAAACAATTGTCAACTAACATGATAGACACAAATAGTAATTGTTATAGTCATCATAATAATCATCATGATTATATCTCATCCAGAATTTACTTGATATTATCGATACAACGTTCAAATTTGTAAGTCTTTTATATTGATTTTGGTTCATCTTTTGTTCAGGAGAGAGAGAGAGAAAAAATAACAAAAAAGTTTCCATGAAATTATTGAATAGGAAGAGAGAGGGAGAAAGAAAAACTTCCTGCAAAATTGAACTTGAATTTTCAGTTCTCTGAAAAAAGAACAGATTTTACTTGAACTTTTTTTCTAAACTTGATGTAATTTGATTACATTTTATCCACTTGATTGTAACAAGTTTAAGGTTATCAGCCTTTTGATATTATCTTTAAATTGAGTGATTAAAATATAGCAAGAGCTTGTTAATTGCTATCATGATGATAATTAACACGATTAAATTCACCAGAGATCAAGGGATGAAAAATTTCTGACCAATAATTAACATTAATCATTCCAATAGAAAGAAAATTTTACTTTATATTAAATTCACAATTAACTGTGTATACACACACTTTATAACTTTAGCTTTACTATTATTAATATCATAATTCATGATAATGATCACCAAGTGATATAATTATTATCTAATATAATCTTAACAACATTATCTGTTAAACTGATAATAAAAGCCTGGTGAAGATATTAAATTGTAGATGAAGTAGCTTAACATGATATCATGAACAGGGTGAAAAAAAAGGATTCAATTTAATTCAAGGTAAAGTCTATTTGGTTAAGTGAGTTTATAGTTGGCAGTTTATATTGTTAACCAGGCTTGAAATGTAATCCAATTAATTGATTGTCGTTGGCTAAAGGATAAGTTAAGTAGTAACAATCAAGTGATTCTTTCCCCATCTTTTATTATAACGGTAAAAAAAACAACCAACCAAATGGGGAGTTAAATGAATGATTCCCAAACCATTAATCACTGAATTTTTTTTCTCTCTCGCTCCTTCATTCAATCAACTTTATCTCATTTTCCTAAGTCTGTTTTTTTCCTCACTGTTTTCATGATAATTCAAAAAGGAAACTTTCAAATGCTGGTGAATAGTAATAAGAAAACAAAACAAGTAGGAAAACAATAAGAGGCAAGAAAAAAACAACAGAGATGTTCAAGATTATTCAGTGAGAGAGAGAGAGAGAGAGAGAGATGAAAAATCTAGTTATTCTGATGAACAATCAATTGAGCTTTAATCTGATTCCAATGAATGTGTTGACTAAACACCGATGATGAAATGATATTGAACTTTTTTACTTTCTATCAGCTTGATAATCTTTCAATTGAGATTCCATTGGAAAATTTTACTACAAATTGAATTGAAGATACGAATCAGTTGAAATAACGGTTAACATGATAACGATAAAGATTATGATATTATATTGCTGATAATGATGAAGATAAAAAGTTCAAGTTAAAGACAAGAGTAGATTGAGTTTCAATGAAGATTCTGTTGAAATCCAATGAAGGTTAAATGACAGCAGTTTATTGGTGTTCATGTAACTTTCATCATGATCATGTTGTATAACTGTATCATCATGATAGCCTTAAGTTGACAAAAAAAAAGGTCAACACAAGTAAATTGTTATTATTATTATCATTGTAATTGTTGTTTCTTTTATTTCTTCCCATTGATTAACAATAATAATGCTCAAGTATAATATTAAAAGTCTATGGAGTTTTTTTTCTCACTCTCCTATGAAATAATAATAAAAATCAGGAGAAAATATAATTCCAACAGAAACTCTGGTTATCTGCCAATATGACTTAATCTAATTCATTTTCTGATAACTTATTGTTAATATAAATTTGGCACAATCGATGATTGATGTTCCAGGATAACATTTCATTCCTAATCTTTTTTCATAACGATTATCACCCTGTTCACCCTGTGATTCTGTCACTTGATTGAACTTTTTTTTCCCTTCATCTCTCATCAGATGAATATGATAATGGATTCAATTTTTTGGTTCGAAACTTTTTTTTGCTCTTCATTTTCTATTCATATTTATAATATCATGAAATAAGTGATTCTTTTTATATTAACAATCATTTTTGTTTCAAGTGGAGGAAAAAATTAACTTAAATGATAAT